ATGTTTAAAGTTATTATTAGTTCCTGACAGAGGACACATGATTTGTGTTCACACAAATGCGCAGGTGTCCTGGAAATGAGTGCTTCGCTGAGGTGTTTTTAATCATTTTTGAACATCAGTGGAGGTTTGTGGCACAGACAAATGAGCTAATCCAGGACTGACAGACATTAACAGTGAATAGAAGCAATTTACTGTTGAAAATACTGTTAATATAGCAAATGATCAAGCTTATCCCTTACAACCTCGCCAAATACAGTATTTAAGTTTGACACTCTTTGCTTGCATAAAAACAGTTAATGTTATGTTAAATGTCAGTTCTGTTTGTGCAGTAAAACAAACTGTCTGAGCTACAGATCCCTGTTTTACCATATCCTGTGTTTTCAGGCTGCTGCCTCTGAGCTGAAGACAACACCAACCGATGAACAATTATTCTCTGAGCTGTGTGACATCTTCCTGCCTGGCCTCATACCTTCCTGCCAGCTGGTTGTCTTTACCACCACCACAGAGTGTGACCATCAGCGCGGTTACACGACAGCCAGGAGACTATGCTATGCAGAGTCTCTGCCAGCAGGCGTACTCTGACCTTGTGGGGTTGATTGACAGCTGTAACATCTTAGAAAGCAGAGAGGACTCTCAGCTCAGTGATGCTTTGGCCAGAGAGCAGGCCGAGCAGGAGGAGCTGTGCCGCCTTCTGTGCTGCTTTTATGATGTCATTCAGCCAGAGGAGGAAAAGGTCAGGATCAAGGAGTTTGTTTAAAACATTTATTTTAAGATCTTATGGTTTAGATGCGATCACTTCTGAATTACTGTTAAGATGACAGTGTGGAGGATTACTGACTAAGTTAAAAACAAGACTTTCTTGAACTTTCCATCACTGGATAACATTCGATACTTTACAATTCAGTGGCTCTCTTTTTTTTGTTGTTAAGTCAGAGCCTATATGGAGCAGAGTGACCAACATTGCCCACTAGTGGCGACAGGAGGGCCCTGCACAGGGAAGACAGTGCTGCTGTCATACTGTGCTCAACAGGTAAATGGACTAAAGAGAAATGTGAAACTTGACTCCTTTTCTTCTTGTTTTTAAACAATGTTTCAGTAAAAGTTGTGTTCAAATAAAATTTTAAATCTGTCCACGTCAAGCTGACTTCAACCTCAAGGAACAGGAATTTCAAACAATAAAATACATGCTGCAAACAAAGATGAAAAGTATTTAGAAATAAGAATGTATTTTTATTAAATAAACAGCAGCAGGAAAAAAGAGGCAAATCTGCTACTGTTTGTTTTATTTAACACATAATCTATTAAATAATTGAAAATGAATTGGATTCCAAACTGGATAAATAAAAGAATTCAAAAATGAGGCTAAATGACCAACAAATGAAGCTCTGCATTGCAAAAAACAGTCCTACAGGAATCTGTACGGGCTTTGATATGAAGTAAACCTGTGTATTGTCTCTGTTCCTCTCACAGATAAAGTCCTGGCTACCAGACAGCAGTCCTGTGGTGATCCCTTACTTTAGCAATCTGTCAATCAACACTTCTCCAAAGCACCTGTTGTCCAGCCTGTGTTATCAAATAGCCAGTAGATATCACAGCCAAAAAAAATCCCAGGTTCTGCCTCTTCACTGTCCCGGGTGATCCATACTGTGTCACTAACCCCAGAGACTACACATCCAGCTGCAGCCCAACCTTTAGTCTAGGTTCTCACCAGGAACCCACCAGAGAACCTGATTCTGACTCTAGCCTAAACCTTAGGATAACACCATGCCCTGATCCTAGAGGACCTAATTCTGGCATCATAAAACCTGACATTAGTCTGTCTGAGCTTAAAGAATGTCTCACCTTCCTCCTCACCCTCCTGCCTTCTCCCGCCCAAACTTTAGTTCTAATCCTCGATGGCCTGGATCAGATCGAAAACAACTCTGCTCTTCAAATCATCGAGAGCCTCCCCTCTCCCCTCCCTTCTGGTGTCAAACTCGTTCTTGTTGTTTCCTCCACCCGAACTCACATCCTGCAGGCCATCAGATTATGTTACCCACAATGCAGTCCACCTCACTATGCAACAGAGGGCAGTGAAAAGGAGTTGGGA